CTCTCTCTCTCTCTCTCTCTCTCTCTCTGTCTCCACATAGCTCAGGATATAGGTCAGGAGGACACACATATCCAAATCCTTGGAAAAGCAGCAAACTTGACTGTAGGTGATAAAAGTGACATTCACAGCTCTTGCTGTAGTCCACACAGGCAAGCAGAAACTTACACTCGCAGACGCAGACATGGGTGTCACAATCCACATGCTCTCTTCCCCATACTCACATGTGTGGGTACACAGTGTCCATGCCTATGCACAGGCTCATAGCCTTCACTGTAACACGCTCATGTCCCAGCACATCCATACAGATGTGGAACAAGCAAACCTCTCCAGATGTGTGCACACCCACACTGAGTACAATGTTTAAGTCCTCGATTCTTCTCCACGCCTCAGCTCCTCAGCCCAAGGAAGTGGGCTGGCTTTTCTCTACCTCCAGCCTCTCTCCTGCCCCTCTCTCCCAGTTTTATGGAGAGAAATGCAATGCTCCCCATACCCCTCTATTCCGCCACCAAGCCCACACAGAGGCAGTGAAGAGAAGAAAGCTGGCAGAGCCCTGGGAACTCTGGCTGGTGACTGGGATAAGAGGCCACCTGCCTCACTGTGCACTGATGTTTCCCAGGCATCAGGCAGAAGCTCTGGGGGTTGAGAAGGGAGAGCCAAGTGGGAAGTCAGGTCTACACAGGCTGTACCCAACCTGTGGAGGTTGGGGATCTCCTGTTTCTGCAGCCTCAGCCTCTGAGCAGAACTCCAAGCTCATGGAGATCAGAGGAGAGAGGCTGGGGTGGGAGTGGCTGGTAACCAACTGGACAGCCAATCAGTGAACACAGCTCAGGTCTTGGCAAAGACACAAGGCTGAGAGGTACTGTCCTCCTCATAAGTAGCTAAGGTTCAAGGGGTGAGAAAAGAGGCGGTAACAGGATAAAGTACTCAGTGTGGTGCTAGTTATGGCCTGGGGGCCCTTGAAGAGGGATCCTGAACCCAGCCTAGGAGGAGGATGGTATCTAAGAAGGCTTCCTGGAGGAGGTCTCCCAGCACTCAATGTGGAGGATGAGTAGGAATTAGGCAGAGTGCAGCTGTCGGCGACCCTGGCACCAGAAGCAGCCCGCCCAGAGGAGGCAGAAACTGCAGCAGGTTGCTGATGCTGTAGAGTATGTGACCTTGGTGACAATAGGAAGGGGTAGGAAAGAAGGGAGGGCAGCTCCCCCAGGGCTCCAGATGTAGTGCTGAGTGGTTGGCAGCCATAAAGATTCTGAGCAGGGACAGTGGCAGCAAGGAGGACCTCTGGTGGGGGCAGGGAGTTGATGGACCCACAGTCCTTATAAAGGAAGTCCCACTGGCAGCAGGTGTACTGCTTGTCTGCATGGGTGGGGCTGCGGTGGGGAACAGGGGTGGCAGGGAGGATGGTGAGCAAGTTCAGTTCCCATCCTTTTCCGTGAGCTGAAAGAGCCTTTCAGTCCTGCCCCAACAGAGGGACCCGGGTCAGAAATGCGCGGGCCTGGGAGAGAGCCGCTAGGCCGACTCTGACGTGGAGCAGATGAGTTCCCCGAGGCTAGAACGGGGACCCTCGGACCCAGTCCACACGGGGCCTGCCTGCCGCAGCCCCCTTCCCCCCATAGTAAGCCCTCTTCCCTTTCTTTCTCCCCACCCTCACTTCCCCTCCTATCTCCCCTTCCTGACTGGCCCAGACCCCCTCCATGTGGCCCTGACACCAAAGAAGCTGAAGACCGGCATCGGCAGCACTGTCATCCTCTCCTGCGCCCTCACGGGCTCCCCGGAGTTCACCATCCGCTGGTACCGCAACACAGAGCTGGTGCTGCCTGACGAGGCCATCTCCATCCGCGGGCTCAGCAACGAGACACTGCTCATCACCTCGGCCCAGAAGAGCCATTCTGGAGCCTATCAGTGCTTTGCCACCCGCAAGGCCCAGACGGCCCAGGATTTCGCCATCATTGTGCTGGAGGGTGAGCTGGGCACCAGGCAGAGGGCGGGCAGGGCTCCAGGTCCCCGCCTCCTCCTGCCAGGGTGGAGCTGATGCTGACGGGAATCCTCCAGTGCCCACTGCTCCTCAGGCAGACCCCTGCCTCATTTAGGCTGCCCAAGTACCGTGTGCCCACCCCTTTATATGTTACCTGTTTTATTGTGGACGAAATGGCTCCTTGTCATTCACCCAAGGTCACACAGCTCCTGTCATTCACCCAAGGGACAGAGCTGGGATTTAAATTCGGGCCTCTTAGCCATAGTATTATATTACTCTTGCCCTCCAAAATTACTAGGCATCGCTACTGGGGAGGGGGTTCTTTGGCGTCCGAAGGTTTTCAGTCTTCCAGAGCTGGAAGCATGCCAGGACCCTCTGGACTTCTGCATCCTCTTTGCCTGAGGCCTCTTCACAGTGCACTCTGTTTCTTACCAGGGTTTCAGTTTTCTCTTTCTCTCTCTCTCTCTCTTTAAAGCTGGCACCATCCAGGGTTCCAGATGGGGCAGATAGGGCAGGAAGGAGGCAGAGGAGGGGCTGAGGCAGAGTGCCTCTCCCAGGCATCAGACTGTTCCCGGGATTTAGACAAAAGGTCTTCCCCAGAAGCAGGGACTGGGGCTGGCAGACTGGCCGAGTCTTGGATTAACATCAGCATTTCGGTGTGCACCATGGACGGGACGTACAGTGCTGTGTCACATTCGCCTGACTTTTCTTTCTTCTTTTCTTTTCTCTTAACATTTTAAAGTACTTAACACCTATTTTATTATATTTTTACTTTGAATGACACAAAATGATCATACAAATAACGAGGTACATTGCGTTTAATGGCCTTTTAATCCTTTACAACAAGGCAGAATGGCCAGGGTTAGTAATTACATTCCCCACATCCCATGGGAGGAAGTTGGGGTGCAAAATTTAATTATCTCATGTGAGGTTATTAGGTTAGCCAAGGCTTAAGGCTGGGCCACAGACTACCCACCTCCACTGCCTCTGCACATTTTCAGGTCAGGGACTTTAGCTAAAGGCACTGCCACACCCCATGCCCTCCCACTGGCAAAGTCAAGTGCAAAGAGCACGGGAATCGGACAGTGAAAGGCTGACCTCTGACACATACAGCTCTACACACAGTTGCCTTCCTGTACCCCAGCGTCTTTAATAATAATGGGAAGGGAAAGGGGCAAGCAAAGGAATGTCGAGAGGACCTGTCACATTTATTAGGTATTTACAAAGCAGTGCTGAGCGGCTTCAATGCATTAATTTACCTAATCCTCACAATGTCCGAATGAGGTGGGTAAATGCCTTGCCCCCATTCTCCCCTTCTACCAGTAAGAGATGGACAGACACAGGGTAGTTAGGTGACCTGCCCAAAGATACAGCGCTAACTACCAAGGGTGGATCCAAAGCCATGCACTATGGTAACTGAATAGCATGGGGCTGCACAGAGCCCCGTGCACTAGACAGTTGTTTAGTATTGCTATGGTTATTATTATCATTGTTAGGGCTTCTACTTTGCCTCCTCCCCCTGCTGGGTGGGGTGGACTGGGGGGAACGTGTCTCCGTGGCTCAGTGACCCTGAAGGGGGCCCCTCGCTCCCCGCAGACGGCACGCCCCGCATCATCTCGTCCTTCAGTGAGAAGGTGGTCAACCCCGGGGAGCAGTTCTCACTGATGTGTGCTGCCAAGGGCGCCCCGCCCCCCACGGTCACCTGGGCCCTGGACGACGAGCCCATCGTGCGGGACGGAAGCCACCGCACCAACCAGTACACCATGTCTGACGGCACCACCATCAGCCACATGAACGTCACGGGCCCCCAGATCCGAGACGGGGGCGTGTACCGGTGCACAGCGCGGAACTCGGTGGGCAGTGCTGAATATCAGGCGCGAATAAACGTAAGAGGTGCCTGTCTACATTTAAATATCAGAATAGGCTTTTGAGTTCCTTTGCCATCTCTGTGGTTACCATTATTCTTGTGGTGATTAGTATTTATTATTAGTAATCGTCATTTTTATTTTAGTAGAGGTCTCTACCCTCTCTCGTCCCCTCCCAGCCCGCTCGTCCATTCTTGTGTGTGAGTGTGCACCCCGTGCAATTCACCCCATCCTCATTCCCGCTCCCTCCTCCTCTTCTGACCCCACAATCCAGCCTGCCCACCCTCCCCACCCCATTCACCCCATCAGATGGCTCTGGGCCCCAGGCACCTGCTAGCATCTGCCAGCCCCACCAGGGTCCTTGCCAGGACAGAGACAGGGCAGGGCAGATGGGCCAATCTTGACCTTAACAAGCAGCTGTTCCCAGCATCCGCCACCCAGCCAGCCCCCCATGCTCCAGGAGCTGTAGGTAGCCAGGAGCCAGGGTGTCACCTCCTCCCTATACTGTTCAAAGCATTAAGAATAGAAGGCTGAGGCTAGGTGGGAGTGTCCCAAGGCGGAGAGCCTCCAAGAGGAGAAGGTGATCATCCCCATATCTCAGTTCTCCAAGCCACCATGGTGAGTGCAGTCTTGTCTGGTGCTCTTTTTAGCCCTGTAGGTCTGACTGGTCTTCTTCTTACCCTATCAGAAAACTTTGACCCAAGGGCTGAGGAGAAGAAGGGTGGGAGGGAAGGGGCACTGGGTACTAGCAGTTGCCCTGGGAGTAGGTAAGGGTCACACAGGGTGGGGGTTCATACCAAATTCATTACACTCCACATTAGAAATGTGGCCTCCCCTCTGGCTACCCTTGCATTCCCTGGGGTTGGAAAGGAAGTGCTGCAGGGCCCTGGGAGGTTCCCTAGTCCTGCCCTCATCTGGGATGGGGACTAAGGCCCAGAGACTGCCTTGACCCTCCATAGCACTGTCCTCAAGACCCCTTGACACTGCACCCAGAGGCCTGTTTATAGCCCTTTCCCAGGGTCCACAATACACCTTTACCTATTGAAACTCATTAGCTCATCCACGAAGACCTTCCTGAGGCCCTTCGAGGTCACATGTAAGGTCCTTTGGGGATGAGACCAGAGTAAGCAAGTAGAGGAAATAACACAGAGTCCACATTTCCGTTTAACCAAATCCTAACCTCCCCATATAGGAGGACTTGCCCTCCCAAATCACAGCCCTTCTTCTTGATGAGGCCCTGTGCCCTGTCCCATTAGAACAGATTCTTACCACAAGCCTGTAGGGCACATACCTGGTGCAACTGTTTGACATTATCAAGGCCTAGAGAGACCATGCACAACCCCAATCCTGGCCTCTGCCATCTGCCTTGGAAATGACCTCCCTCTGCCCCACCAGATTTTCACACTGGAAGTCTCAGGTGCCCAGCAACCAAGAAGAGCACCCCAGGGCAGTGCCGGGCTGTCCCTGGCTGACAGCACCGCTTGCCCCTCCTTTCCGCCTCCTCCCTCCCAACCTCACAGGACCCCCCAGCATCCGGGCAATGAAGAACATCACAGCAGTCGCTGGGCGGGACACCCTCATCAACTGCAGGGTCATCGGCTACCCCTACTACTCCATCAAGTGGTACAAGGATGCCCTGCTGCTGCCTGACAACCACCGCCAAGTGGTATTTGAGAACGGGACCCTCAAGCTGACGGACGTGCAGAAGGGCATGGACGAGGGGGAGTACCTGTGCAGTGTCCTCATCCAGCCCCAGCTCTCCATCAGCCAGAGTGTCCACGTGGCTGTTAAAGGTAGGCTTCCCTCCCCCAACCCTTCCTGGCCTGGTGTCAGTGTTTGGAAGAAATGAGGCAGGGCCAAAGATCTCGGGCAGACTTAGAAAGCCATGAGTTCTCCAGCTTCCCCAGCAGGCAGTAGGACAAGGCAGCCCAGACCCCAAGACAAGGGCTCAGTTACAGTCAAAGAGGAAGTGGGTTACCTTCTGGGCAGGAGACCCAGGTCAGAGTTGGCAGTCTACGCCAGGGCTCTGATGTCAGGATGGAGCCTTCAGGATCCCAGCAGGATCATATGAGAGATTAGCAACAGGAAGACAAGGTGAAAGTGAACAGGCCAGCTTCCCTACCTCCCTCCTGGGGCAGAGTGGCCATCCTGGGCTGCTGCTATGAGATGGGAAAGGACCTTCCATCTACTAGTGCCACCTGAGGCCTAGAAAGTACTGCCCCTCCCAGGCCTCCCTGCTCCCCTGGCTGAGGGTTCTATGTCTGCCAGCTACATGAGAGCCATTCAGTAAGTCTGGGAGTTGAAGGAATTAATGAATGGATGAAATCAAGTGGACAAAAGAATGTGTGGACCAATTGCCAGGGTCCCCTTGGCTCTGGGGCTGTGCAGGTATATGAAGCCCACACATACCTGCTTTGGGATTGGTGGGTCTGGAGATTGTGTGGGACAGTTGCTTCATGCACAGGATGGGGAGATAGATCTTTCCAGACTTGGCAAAGGAACGGTGAGTGAACTACTGAGGCTGAAGGAAGGGCAGGCTGGGGGAGGAATGTGTACCTCATACTACACCTCAGGAAGGAAAAACAGCTCCAGAGACCACCTAGGAGGGAGGTGAGAGTCCTTGAGACTGCTGAGAGCCCCTATAGTCTGTGCCCCCCCCCGCTGAGTCTGTGTCACCCCAGGGAAGCAGGAAGGGGAAGCTGGAAAGACCCCACACAGATGCACACAAACCCATGCACACATCCTTAAGAGACGAGAGGTAGGGACATTAACGAAGAGAGGAAATATGAGAAGGCACAGGTCCATGAGAAACAGGAAGAGAGATGGGGTTCTGCCAAGGGGCTCTGACACAGGGAAGGGCCCCCTGGGCCTCAGACCCAGTGTGATCTTGGCTTGGAGATCAGAAGCAAGATCAAATGGTGGTGCTGTTGACAAAAGAGAAAAGGATTTGGATGGCAGAGGAGGTTGGTTGGGGTCCTTCAAGCACTCAGTGGTTGTCCAGGTGGGCAGGCCTGCGGAACAGCTGGGAACGCTGAGCAGAAGCAAAAGGCTGGATCTGTGTTTCTTGTCACCTGGCTCACCCTCACCAGTGTTCAGGGGCTGCGTCAAATGCATCCTTCTGTACCCACCACCTGTCACAGTGCCAGACAGTGTACATTTGTTGAACTGAAACTGAGGCGTTTGTCTGGGTTAGAGTGACATAGGAAGCCTCACTCTGAGCCCCAAGAACTGGGGCTCTGTGGCCATCTCAGGCCTGGCGAGGAGAAAGGACACCCTGACAACTCCACCTCCCTGCTTTCCTGCTCTTGCACCTCAGACAACTCCACCTCCCTGCTTTCCTGCTCTTGCACCTCAGTCAAATTGGGGAGAGGGGAAGGATCCCCTTCCCAGCTTAGTGTCTCTGCCCAGCCCCAGGTGCTTGCTGTGCCAGTAGGAACCTCAAAACCCTTAGGCCACATCCCCACCCCTGACATCTTGGGCAAATCCACTTGGTGACAATGGGATACAGCACAGCCTGCTCCCCTCTCCCACCCAGTATCACGCTGCCTGTATCCATTTCTGCTACACGCAGTGGACCAGGAGCTTACAGTGTAAACATCACATATTAAAACATCGACCTTTTGCTCCACTCCTTCATCCAACTGCACCAGCAAGCATTTGGCCAAGTTTGTTGGCTAAAAAAAATAATAATAATAACAGGGCTCCAGTGAGCCTCGGAACATTTGGAACATCCTGAAAGCTGCTTCTGCTCATCAATTATTCAGCCCCATTCAGGGAACGATCAGTTCTAATGAATTGAATCTGATGCATTCCATCTCAGCAACTCACTGGGCTTGTTGTTTAGTGCTGAACGACAGTGTCTCCCCAGCCCAGGGAGAGGGGTGGAGAAAAGAGTGTGTGTGTGTGTGTGTGTGTGTGTGTGTGTGTGTGTGTGTGTGTGTCATGTACAGGCTCATAGCACACATTTCCATTTTCCCACCATTAGCCTCTGAAAAAGCTGAGAAATACAGCCCTAGAAGGGGTAAGGTCACCTGCCTCCTCTCTAGACCAAAAGCTGCACTCATGTGAGGGGCTCTGGGACCTATGCCCCTGCCACTCCAATAGCTCGAGTTCCACATCCCCACCCTCTTGCTGACTCCCTCTCCCCATCTCATTAGAATACACTTTTGCAGAAGAACCCATCAAAGCTGATTATGATCACGCTGCTTGATTAGCAGCTGCACTCTTCCAAGAGCTCCCCAAGAGGGGGTGGAGGAGGCACCCCTGGGCATGGCAAGGGGCCCTGGCTCAGGGGAGGAAGAGGAGACCCCACCTCTGCTGCCCACTGGAGAGTGCATCACACAAGGCAGAAAAGGGTAAGGCAGGGCTGGACTACAGGGCATTAGAAGCTAAAGATAAACTGGAAGTCCTGTACCCTACCTCCACTTCCCTTCAGCCAATGACTGGCAGGGAGGGAGGGGCCAAAACCCATGCTGTTCCATGAGCTGGAAAAACAACTGCTGCCTGCATTCCTTCTGGGACTGCTTGTCTTCTAATGAATTTTTTGAACACTGAGCTGAGAAGAGCAGAACACACCCGACACGCATGCACAGGAATAGGCAGAAACCTGTGTGAGTGCACATGCGTGTACACCCTGTAAGCTTGTCCATGCATCAGAGTAGCACTCTAGATGTTCCCATTTGAGCACCCACACATATGCCTGTGTACCAGCAGTTAGATATGTGCCAGTGCTCCCTCTGTTGATGCTCTTCTGCAAGGCAACCTTCCCATGCCACAAAAGGTAGCTGCAGGTGGGACAGTAGGAAACACTGCCCAGGTGAGCTTGTTGCTACCCTGCAAGGAGAGAGGAGCAAGAGAACAAAGGGTGGAGGATGTATCAAGGACTTCCTGGGCTTGGCACATGCTACTCTGACTGGCGGGGGAGCCAGGCTGCAAGGGAGGCGGGCGCTTGTCTCTGGGCTCCTGGAGAGCTCCTTGGCAGATGCTAAGAGGAGGAGAGCACACAGATCCAACCTAGAGTTGGTGACTTTAGGGCCCCTTGTAGCTGAAAAATAATGTAGCATAAAAGCATCTCTGGGCACAGAGGCTGAATGTTTAATTAACCAGGAAGGAAAAGCTGTAACTTAGGCCCCTTGGCATTCACTGAGTAAGGAAACATCTCCATCTTTATATCTGAGCTTCCAAAAGTCTCTGAGCCAAAATAAGGACATGAGGCACTTTCTTCACATGCGTAGAAGGGCCAGGCCTGGGAGGTAGTACCAGGTTCCCATGGAGAGCAAGCAGAAGAAGGCACACACACCCACACACAGACACCCTCAGCCCCAAGGCCCATATTCCCTGCCCACACTGATTCATCCCTACCTAGTGCAGAGCTTCCATTGTGGCTCCACCCAGAGCCACATGCATGAGAACCTTTGTGGAGGGCACCGACTCCCACTCTAATGAATGGTTTGGGGTTCCTATGATCATAGGGCATAAGAGAGAGCCAGCCACCTGGACTGGCCAGGTGCATGCTATTGGAAGAAGTAGAGATTTGGAAGCAACCCTACTAGAATCCACAGGTTGGGGCTGAGGTAGTGAGGCTCCAACAGGACAGAACCTAATTGCCCTTGGGGAGATGAGGATCGAGGAAGCTGCTGCTGGCAACCTTGTTTCTTCAGCCAGGAGTCAGGAACCTAAGAGTAAGAAACCGCCTTATGAGGCAAACAAGGCTCACAATGATGGTGAAGATGATAACAATGACAAGGAAGCATCACCAGCATCTGTTGTCTATCCAGAGACCTTGCCTGCATACCCACTATGTTCTAGGCACTATTTCAGGACCTCCCAATACAGCCATGTTCAAAACCGATAAAACTCCCTGCCTCAAGAAACATGTGTTTTAGTGAGGAAATGCCTTATATCAAACACGTACAAGATATGCAGTGTCAAATAAGGAATGGGACAGAGCACCACAGGAAGGAGGAGGGGCTTGCAATTTAAACAAGGTCAGGGAAGACCTTCCCAAGAAGAGAGGGTTGTGGTAATAACTGAAGTAAATTGTCGTTATTCCTAAAATGTGAGACTTAGTAAAACTAGAAAGTCAGTGCCTGGTTTTAGAGATTTATTGTACAACCCCTCCATTTTGCAGGTGAGGAAACATGCTCAAAAGCAGAGACTGGGTGGTAGAGATGAGGCCACATGCCTGTGGTCATTTGTATGGGTAGCAGAGCCTGGAACCCAGGCATCCTGGCTGAGGCCAGGCTCTTTCCCATCTTCATTCTGTGGCAAAGAAACCCCACCTTCCAACATGCACACTTTGCTAACAAGGGCAGTCAATAAAAGGCTCAGCCTCAAAAACAGATGATGAGAGACCCAATAAAGATGGACTGGGCTGGGGGTCAGCAGTGCCTGACAATGCCCAACAAGTGGCTGTAAAATCTTTATGAGGGCCAGAAACCAAAAGCACAGCTACAGCTGCTGTCTCTTCTCAGCCACTCTGCACTACCACCGCACCTTGCTACAAGAGGCCATGGCCAGAGCAGGGCTCCTGGAGAGAAACCACCAGACTGTGTGGCATTCGCAGCCCTATATCCAGGCCAGCTACTGGGGAAATGCCAGGACTCAGGGATGGGAGAGGTCTGAGGGTGACTCTCAGCACTAAAGCAGCCCTGGTCACTCTGGATGGGGATGGAGACCCTGTCTTCTCAAGGATTGATTTCCCAAAAGTAGAAATGGACACAAACGTACAGTCTGCTCATGCCCGTCCCTGAGCATGGAGGAAGGTGCAGCTGAGCCACAGGTCAGGAAAACACCCTCAGGCCTGGGCAGTCACCTCTGGTAAAAACTGAAGAGCTCTATACCCTGCTTAGAAGCCCTCTAGTCATGTACACCTTACGGCTGAGGCTTTCTTCTCCCTCCAGGCTGAGGGGGACAGCCTGAATTTATAGTGTGTCAGGATGCTCAGCTGGAGGTATGGAGTTCCCCAAGCAGCTCTGGCCCCTAGCACTCCCACTGCAGAGTTCCTGAGTAGATGTCAGCAGCCATAGCATTGAGCCTGTGCCATCTGCTGCCATAGTGACCCACATCTTGTGGTGGAGAGGAGGGAGTGTCTCTGAAAAGGTGTCTGGTCATCTGCCTCCTATAGGACCAGGGCATTCTGGGGAGCCCTGACCCAGCCCAGCTGAGTGTCTAAGAGCCCAGGGTACTGGTGGCTGTTCTACAGTCTCTCCAGTAGCCATTCATGTCCCTCCTGCAGACCATCAGGGAATGGTAGCCCCTATGTGGCCTCAGACCCTTGGGTTCACCTTTTCCCTCTCTTTACCCCATGTAATTTTGCATGCATGTGTGTCCTTTAACTGTCAATTCAAACAGCATAAGGCAGTGGTCACCCCATACATGCAAGGAGACGTGTCCCTCTGCTCTGAGCTTAGTGTCTGAATATCCCAAGTGGCACTTGCCAAGGAGTCACCAAGAGTAGCTCTTACCTTTCCCAGTCAATGATCAACTCCTGAGGCTCCATTTGCAGTTTCCACGTCTCTGCTTCCCCAGCCCACACAGAGCACAATGCCTTCAAAGAGCAGGCATTTCATAAATATTAGATGAATTAGTTAATTAATGAATTAACCTGCCATAGTAACTTGTTTCATTATCTAAATCCCTTCTTACAGAGGAGACAGTTTTCCCTTGCCTGAACTAAATCTCCCTGCCTAATTTCACTCTGTCTCTATCTTGTTGCTCTTTCCTCAATGAAGTTGTAATATTGGCCTTCTGTCCCTAGGGCATAGCCCTCCAGATTGGACAGGTCTTCTCCCCCAAACCCTTGCTTTGCCCAAGTATCCTACCCTCCAGTCCTTCCTTACTACCAACACATTCCCGATGCTGTTGTTCAAGAGCCCAAAGGCTCTTCAGTCCCAGTTTAGTGCTATAACAGAAAGGACCTGGGCCTAGGAAGACCTGAGAGAGGAGCTTCGGCTGCAGAGTGTCATGGCATAAACAGGTCCTGCACCTCAGTTCTGTGAACACCAACCTGGCCCACAGCATAAATGAATCTCTGAGGTCACCCCAGGAAGTGGTATCCAGATATATGCCCATTTGTTTACTCACTCAACAAGCATTTATTGGGCACTTACAATTTGCCAGGTGAACAGTCCTAGCTACATAAATCTTAGCTCTCAAACCCCAGGAAGATGGTAGTCCTGCCCATGCCCTGTGATAAGTGCCATAGTCAAGGTATACACCTCGTCTCTGCAAAAATTCTGTCCAAAGTCCAAAGAGGCCTAGAAACCTATATCTGACCAATAGGTGCATCTACTCACATACACATATGCATGCGTGTGCACGTGCCCACACACACACACACACACACACAGAGGAGAATCCACAGAGGACAACTGATGGAATCTCTGGGAAGTGGCAGTAATGGGCACTGGGTTATTACCGGAATTAGGGTTTCAGAGAAATCCATCTAGGGATGTCCATGGCCCAACAATGTCCCACCCCACAGAAAAGGAGCAGTCAGTGACAGTGATGAGTTGATATGAATAGTGACTAGAGCCTTGGGAAACCTGGCAGGGGGTTGGACCTGGTCTGGGCCCAGATGATTCTAGAGTGAAATGAGTCAAAGTCAGCTAAGAGGTCAGGAGCACATAGGGTAAGAGAGGAGGACAGATGCCAAGCTATGCTCACCAGGCAGGACTAAGGTGTGGAACTGTACATGGCCATGGTACATTGATGGAGTCCCAGCTGGAATAGAGGCCAAGGCAGGAGATGCAACTGAAAACATCAACAGAGGCCTCTGCTGGAGGTCATGGAGGCAGCATCCCTCCTAAATGTCACCTCCTCCAGTCCTGAAGCTCTTGGTCAAGACCTTCGCAGTGATCTAGGGGGCTGCCAAGGGCTTTCTATGGCCCCACTGGCCAGTCCCCATAGACAGCTCCCCACAGAGCCCTGGCAGTTTGTGAAGGGCCTCACTGAGTGCCGTACATCCTTCCTCCTCAGGCTCATCCTCCTGCGGCCTAGAGCCGAGGGTGGTGAGTAGCAGGCGTTCAAGGAGGGGCAAAGCTGGTGCCTGGGAGAAGGCCAGAGGACGGTGGACAGCCTTGTAATTTAATTATTTAACTGCAGAAAGGAGATGCCATCTACTGGGTACTCGTACTTGTTAAGCTAATTGTCTGTCTCCTTCGCTCCCCCTGGTCCCACTTGCCAAAGAAGCCGCCGCAGCCTAATTGAGTTATCATAAATATAATGTCTGATGCTCTAGCCAAAGCTGAGAAAGGAGGATCCATCTCACAGTGCTCCGGCTCCAGACCGGTCCCCCGGGGGCAGAGACATGGGCAGTGAGGGAGGGAGGCCAGGCATGTGGGGCTTTGTGTAAGGAGTCTCAAAAGCCACATGGCCCCCTCTGCTCTTTCCTTCCACCCAGAAAAAGTTCACTTATAACACAAAGGGTCTCTGGTCTCAGCATGTTTGGGACTTGCTCAAGGAGACAGCCAAGCAGCATCAGCATGGACTTGGAGAGCAGACAGGACACATTCCAAATCCATGTGTCACCTCTGGTGAACAGGGTAACCTAGAAAAATTACTTCTGTGTGGGACTTCCATGTTTTCCTCTGTAAAATCAAGCTTGTGTCATATTTTTGGTAGGAGAACTCAGTGAGATAAAATACATAATGCAACTGAAACAACCAGTGATATGTGCTTCTGCTCACCTGTCCTAATGCTTGAAGACCATGGAGAGGGATAGGGCTCGTGAGGGGACATCTGTGGAAGAAGAGAGTACAGCACTTCGGTTTTAGATGCTATTGTGAAAGGAATTATTTCCCCAATTTCTCTCTCAGTGAGTCTGTTATTTGTGTACAAGAAGGATATTGATTTTTGAGTGTTGACCTTGTATCCAGCTACTCTACTGAATCTGTCAATTAAGTCTAGAACATTTTTAGCAGAGTTTTTTGGGTCTTCTATGTAGAGTATCATGTTATCAGCAAATAATGACAGTTTAACTTCTTCCTTTCCTATCTTTATTCCTTTTATTACTTTCTCTTGTCTAATTGCTGTGGCTAATGTTTCCAGAACTATATTGAACAGGAGTGGTGATAGTGGACACCCTTGTCTTGTTCCTGATTTTAGTGTGAAGGATATCAGTTTTTGACCATTTAGTATAATATTGGCTGTTGGTTTTTCATAGATAGCTTTTATCAGACTGAGGTAGAAACCATCTATTCCAGTTTTTGTAGGGTTTTTATCATAAATGCATGGTGGATTCTGTTGAATCCTTTTTCTACATCTATTAAGATAATCATATGGTTTTTGTCCTTGGCTCTATTAATATAGTGTATTACATTTATTGACTTGCTTATGTTGAGTCATCCCTGCACCTCTGGGATGAAAAAAATGTGGAATGCTTCACAAATTTGTGTGTCATGCTTGTGCAGGGGCCATGCTAGTCTTCTCTGTATCGTTCCAATTTTAGTATATGTCCTGCTGAAGCGACCACAGCACTTTGGTTTTAGACAGACACCATGGAGGAGTCCATGGGGAAGGTCTAGGCACTTTCCTTTGCCTGACACCTGGAAATCTTGCCTCTATACCAGACCCCTAGAGGGCTCTGAGATTCTTGTCTGAGACGAGAATATGGGCATGAGCTGAGCAATGGGTCAGCAGGTGAATGGGAGTCAAGAAGCCCAAGACAAATCTGAAGTTCAGAGCTAATCCAAGTGAGCCAAGGCCCTGGACAGAGACGGTGGGCCCAGGCCTACATGGATAGCAGCCAGGCACAACGACAGAACATCATTCCTAGGAGGGTCTCTGCATGAATAGGAGAACAAGGGGAGCTGAATTCAAGGCCAACCCTAACGTTGGGCAGCCCAGAGCCCACTCGAGATAGCTGGCCAGCCCTGGGCAAGTGGGGCCTGACAGCAGCAACCCTCTGCCCTCCAGTACCCCCTCTGATCCAGCCCTTCGAGTTCCCACCTGCCTCCATTGGCCAGCTGCTCTACATCCCCTGCGTGGTGTCTTCGGGGGACATGCCCATCCGCATCACCTGGAGGAAGGACGGACAGGTGATCATCTCAGGCTCGGGTGTGACCATCGAGAGCAAGGAATTCATGAGTTCCCTACAGATATCCAGTGTCTCCCTCAAGCACAATGGCAACTACACATGCATTGCCAGCAATGCTGCGGCCACCGTGAGCAGGGAGCGCCAGCTCATCGTGCGTGGTGAGTAGGTCAGACCAGCCATGGGGAGGAGCATCACAGCCACCATTCTGGAGTTCTAGTTGAATCACAGTCTCATGGGTGGTTGCCTCTAGCAGGGCTTTTTAAGATGGAGCGGTCCAAGCCTCCTATTTCTCAGAGCAGGAAACAGAGCCCCAAAGTTCAAGAGACCCTTGCTCCATTAATCATTGGTGAAGGCAGGACCAGAACTTAGGGCCTCCATCTCCCATTTCAATGTTTGCATCCTGAGCTTCAGAAACTGTCCCCTCCCAACTCCATGATGATCCAGAATAAGGGGTGGCATCACAAGGAAGGTTCCCAAAACCAAGGAGACCTGTAAAAGACCCAAATGACCTATTTCTTACTACCTCTTCTCTTCTGGCAGTGCCCCCTCGATTTGTGGTGCAGCCCAACAACCAGGATGGCATCTATGGCAAAGCTGGTGTGCTCAACTGCTCGGTGGATGGCTACCCCCCACCCAAGGTCATGTGGAAGCATGCCAAGGGTAAGTTTCTGCTCAGCCAGCAGCTCCAGGAGGGGACAGGTGGGGAGGGAAAGGGGATGCTCTGATGGGACATGGCCCTACTCTCTCCTTCAACCACTAGCCCTAGGAAGAGTCCTGGGTTCTGAGCATTTGGAAACCCCTTGCTATAAATAATCTAGAGGATATCTGCAGCCGCTCCCAGGGGTCTGTAGACCAAGGACAGCATCATGCTGACTTTACATTTCCTCTTGTCACTATGGACCAGACCTTCAACCCCGCTCCAGCCATAAAACTAAATGTACCTCCACTTCTTCTACCTCACCCTGCCCACACTGGCATCTCAGAGGCTCAAGGCCTAAGGCAGATCCTCACCAATCTACCTGTCCCAGGATCTTGGTCCTTCTTAGAGCCCAGTTGAATTCCAGGGATGCATGCAGTATCTGACTGAGCCCCATATCGTAGACTTTGTCCATGACTGATACCAGGGAGCAGGAGAGGTTTCCCCAGGTCCCTCCCCACGGGTGACTGAACTCCTTCCCAGGCCTGGCTGTCTAAGACAAGTTAACTGCCATTTCCCTATTGCAGTTCCTTCTTCTTCTCTCAAGAATTCGCCCCAAGGAAGCTCAGTGCCAAGGTGGGCATTCTGCTCAGGCCCTGTGCCCACTCCATCCCCTTGCTGCAGAGCTGGGGCAGGGCCAGACCTCTCTGAGGGTCTCTCCTGTTGCCTGGCAGGTGCTGTGTGGCTCCACCACTTTGGGATGGTGCAACTCTGCCACAAAAATGGCCCCAGTTGGGCATGAAAAAGGCATCAGAACCACTCCTAAGGCACTGTCTCCAGGCTGACCCACTCCCCCAACAGACCCCATCCCTCCTAACCTCTGCCTCCTCACAGGGAGTGGAAACCCTCAGCAGTACCACCCAGTGCCCCTCACTGGCCGCATCCAGATCCTGCCCAACAGCTCTCTGCTGATCCGCCACGTTCTAGAAGAGGACATTGGCTACTACCTCTGCCAGGCCAGCAACGGTGTGGGCACAGACATTAGCAAGTCCATGTTCCTCACAGTCAAGAGTGAGTACTGCCCCTGAGCCCTCCTAGCACCCTGACCCCATCTCTGCACGCTCCCTACCTGCACCCAGGGTCTTCGCTATACCATCTAGGAGGGGAGGATCCCTGCTCCTGGGTGTGCTTGGACCTCCACCCCCGCCCCAGGAGCATTCAGGAGCACTCTCTTCTAAAACAAGGGCCTCACTGTGGACAGCTCCCACCCCAGCCCCGACTAGCTCATACTGACCCATGGAATACCACCTCATTTACTTTGATCTGTACATTGGCAATCAATCTGAATTCTCATCTCAAACAACTTACTTCTGTTTCTTAATATATACCTGTGGTATGCAACCTGTTTGTGCCTTAGGAAGAAAGATATTGCATGCACAGTGCAGGAGAAAGCCTATGGTCAGAAAACTGGGTTCCCATTCCAAATCTACCTAAAGAGCTTTGTGACCTTGAGCATGTCACTTCACCTTTCTGTGCTCTAGTTTCCTCAGTCATACTCCAGGTTCCCTCCCAGCCTACCCACCTCACAAAACTGTTGGGTACAGCACAGAAACTGATGATAAAGAGAGGAAAGCCTTTTTAAAAGCCAAAGGAGCACAATTCATTTTAACTTGGTGCTGTATCTGTGGCTTTATTCCCCAAATCCAAAGCTGGCCTCAGGGACCTCTCAAGGCCACTGGTTATCTACCATCCCAATTCTGTTAAAAATCACAGCAGTCATTCCTACTGGGTAAGCTTGTCTCCACATACTCAGAAGCAGCTGAATAATGGGTCCCTGAGAATCATGTTGGAAGGACAGTGCCCCTTTGGCCCAGTGTCAGGAACCCTGGGCCTTGGAGGGCAGAGGTGAGGGTCTGAGTTTTAGCGTCTGACCCATCAGAGTGAATCTGGGACCATGGCTTGATCACTATGTGGTTCCAATTAATGTACCTGGCCTATGGCACCTCACTATGATCTAGTGATCACCTGATCTAGAAAAAGGGAGTCATAGTAAAATAGGGTACTGTTTCAGGCCAAGCACAAGTCCCATGATAGACATAAAGCAGCCAATGTGGCATCCAGCCAGCACAGATCCAGTGGCCAGTGATCATTCTTCACGTATTCCCTGGGGCTCGGGGAGGAAGCTGCCCAAGGGAGAGCTGCATGTGTGTGGTCTGCCTGGCCCCTCCCTGGAGTCCCTCCCCCAGCAGTCCCTCCCCCAGCAATCACATCATCTTTATTGCATGCCCATGCCCCGTGTTCAGCTCAGCACAAAACAGGAAAGCCCACTTTAAGCCGGAATCTCCACCCTGGGGAGCTGCACGCTATCAAAAAGCACTTTGTCCTTAATAAAACCAGGCAATCAATCTACATCCCTCAGCAAGGGAGAACTTTGCTAATTTTGCCTAGAGAGTGAAAGGAAAAGTAGGCACTCTAGAATATCTTAGGTATTTGATCCTTTTCTCCCTCTACTATCAGCTGGATGAGCCCAATGAACTTGGCTCCGATTTTTTTGTTGGTTTGTTTTTTGTTAAAGGATTCCACTTAGGGAGTGTGGCTGCTGGTCTGTGGCACAAGCATGAGGGTTTCTCATGGAGATGCAGGGATTCAGTGGTTGGGAGGTGGGGACATCCAACTCACATCCTAGTGCTTTGGCATCCTGGGGGGTTGCACAAGTCACTTTACTCCTGGGGGCTGCATTTCTTCTATGCCTCTCTTCCTGCCAATCCAAGTAGCAGCAAGAAAGCCCTGAAGTATTGGAGAAAGCTTGGTTTTTAGGGCTGCTTGTGAACATGTGCTATACAAAATCACACACACACACACACACACACACACACACACACACACACACACACGCTGGTGTTAACCATCCCCCACCTACTAGGGAATGGTTGGAGTTTCCTGCAGCACTGATGAGTCAGGGCAGAATCTAGACCTGTGTCCCTCCCTCCTGTCCTCCCCTTGTCTAATTCCGTGTCTTGTCATTTTCCTGTGCCTCCTCCCCCACCCCACGACCACCCGTAAGGCACACAAATAGTCCGTTCTTACATCTGATCTCACAAACACCTCTGGGGCGCATTTTCCTGCTCACCTGCCTTCCCGCATGTGCCTGTCTCACTCACAGCTTACATTCTTCTCTCACACTCACACCCTCTTTCTCATATTCTTCCTCTGTCACAGATGTGCCTTCCATCCCTGCCTCCCTCTCCCCAGTGGTTTGCCCCAGCTGTCTTCAAGGCTTCATGCCACCCAGCCCTCACCAGAGAGGAGGAAGCAGGGACAAGCATCTTGGAGACCAGAGGGCTGAGTGTGACAGGGCCTCCACCTTAGTGGCAGTGGGATGGCACATTGTCCTGCCTGCCCTTCTCTAGAACTTCCAGGCCCTGCTGTTTCTGGGCAGGTGTGCTGTCCCAAGCGGCCCAGCTCAGCCACTTCCCTGCACATCCTCTCCTCTGCTCTGTGCACATCTCTTCTCACCCCTGCCCTCTGCCCACCCTGACCTTCTCTTCCTTCATTCTCCCTCCACCTTCTCCCACTCCCCAACCTAAGTCCAGTTTAGAGGACACAGATAGGTGAGACCTTCAGAATCTGGGCATGTTGGTCATCATTGGGCTTGCTGGCGGGGGAAGCCACTCCTAATCATCCCTTGGTCCATCACAAACACCCAACATTCCTCCTTGCCAACTTGCAAAGCCAGCCACAGAAAGACCTGCCATTTGCAAACCTAATTTCAAGCCTTGCCTCAGTGTTTCCAATGCACTCAGGACATATTTGACCTGAGAAAGCTCCACCTTGTCAGACCTGACACTTCCCTGAACTTTCAGAAAGCAATCTGACCTTCACCTCCACTGTACCTGAGCAAAAGAGTGTAACATATAAAAGGGAACAGAACATCAATGAAAGGCTCCAAGGGTCATACTGGATATTTGTGGTTGGCCTCTGTTGGGGATGATCTCTACCATTGGTCCACACGGTTTCCATGAGAATTCAGCAGGTGCTCACTGAGCACTCACCTAATAGGTCAAAGAGAGTAGAATAGAGAGACTGGAGTTCAAATCCCAGCTATGCCACTTGATAGCTGTATCATCTAGAACAAAAAATCTTTGTAAGCCCTAGTGTCTTTGTAAATTTGGAATTACAATACAAACAGTCTGCAACTTAGTAATTTTCAACTTTACAATGGTCCAATAGTAACATGCATTCAATAGACCCTGTGTTTTGAATTTTGAACTTTGATCCTGCAGTGGCAGTGAGCCCTGAGATCACAAAGGTAACCTCTCAGCACTCTGCAGTGTACTGTGTTGCTAAGCTAGGATGTTCAGTAGGTTAGGTATGTTCTGAGCATTCTCAATTCAAGATATTTTTCAGCTCATGATGGGTTTATCAAAATGTAACCCCCTTGAAAGTCAAGGAGCATCTGTATTTTTTACTTATTGGTAGGGTTTAAATGAGATCACGCACTTACAACAGTTAAGACAGTACTTGCCACAGAGCACACATTCAATAATTGTTAGTTTTAAGCACTGAAAACCTCCTGATAAGTATGAAAGTGTCACTGTTGTCAGGGAATTTAGAATCATGAAAAGGAAATAATATACTGAAAATAACTATAACACACAAAACAATAAGTGCCTTAAAAGCCTGCAAACAAAGTGATTCAAAAAGAATTAGGGAGGGGGTCATCAATTTTACCCTAGGGGAGAGTAAGCAGGTGTCAACTGAGGCCTCACAAAAGCCATAGTCTCTAAGGAGGGCTTGAAAGGTGAGAAGGATTCTAACAAGAGCCAAAAGCGGGGAGGGTCACGGTGTTACAGAATTGAGGGATTTCTCAAGCAAGGATGGGGGGGCAGGGAATCCATGAATGTCCTCCAGTGAGGTGAGAGCTTAGGGTGTCTGGCAGTGAGTAAAGGAGAAGATGGACAGGGAGTACGAAATGTGAGGTGCTGTGAGCTTTGAGAGCTAGGTGTGCTCTTCCTATGTTGATCTGATACCAGGATCTAAACTTTCCAGGAGGCCAAGGGTCTTGCAGAGGTTGGGATCCCGCACTTAATTCTTGAGGAATTGGCATGCAAAAACTCTATTAGAGCCTGTATTGGGCAGGGTTTTCCAGAGGGACAGTCTCAACAGGACATAGATAAGTAAATAGGAAGGATGGATAGATGGGTGGATGAGAGGGCATCAGGGGAAATGGCTCATACAGATATGGAGGTTGAGAAGCCCCACAACTAATGATCTGCAAGGTGGAGACTCTGATATGCTGACTCAGTCCAAGACCAAAGGGCTCAGAACTAGGGGAGATGATGCTGTGACCTTCAGTCCATGGCCAAAGGCTTGAGAACCCAGGGAGTCACTGGTATAAGTCCTAGAGTCCAAAAGCCAGAGAATCCAGAGCCTGGTATCCGAGGTCAGGAGAAGAGTGTCTCAGCTCCAGGAGAGAGAAGAAATCATTTTGTTCTGCCTTTTTTGTACTGTGTGGGTCCCCAGCTCATTGGATGGTGCCCACATTGAGGTGAATCTTCTCCAACTCAGTCCACCAACTCACATGCCAGTCTCTTCTGCAAACACCCTCACAGACACCAGAAATAATGTTCTGCCTGTTCTCTAAATCTTCTTTAATCCAGTCAAGCTGATGCCTAAAATTAACCATCACAGGGCCCCAGGGAGCTAAGGACTTGTTAGAGCAGGCAAGTGGTTTTCCAAGTCCATGGACATCCTTGATGACAATCAGCCAGGCCAGGCTGGACCCACTCCTCCCTGACCCAGAATCTTGCAGTGAGCTGAGCCCCATGAGTACCTAAGCCCATGCACTTGACAGTTTTTATTTGTTTGTTTGTTTGTTTGTTTGTTTGTTTTGGGGGGGTTTTGTTTTGGTTTGTTTTTTGTTTTTTGTTTTTGAGACAGGGTCTCACTATGTAGTGGAGACTGACTTGGAACTCACTATGTAGTCCAGGCTGGTCTCAAACTCATAGTGATCCTCCTGTCTCAGCCTCTCGAGAGCTGGGATTACAGGCATGCACCACCACACCTGGCTT